CCTTGTTCTTCTGTTCACTTATAAAGAACTTTACTCACAGCTACAGTGACAGCTTCATTAACCTTTCCCCAAACAAATAAACACAATTGCTCTTTGCCTCACTCATTCCGGGCAACTGTGAGAGCCACAGACAGAGGACCCGGCCCTGCAGCAGCAGGCTGCCTCCAGAACAAGTTTCCTGATGATTTGTGCAGACCACAGTGACAAGCACAGAAGCATGACTCACCTGGAATTAAACTATTATAAATAACTTGTCAGGGATGCCTTTACATTCTGAAGAACATTTCACTGTTAAAACTTTAACAACAAGAACCTGGTTATGTTATGAAATGAAACACTCACTCCTTTGCCACATCTCTCTGCTCTCCTGAGCCAAATTCTAACATAAATGGGCAAATTAAATGTAGCCTATAGCTTACCTAACATAATTACATGTTGTATTTTACACTGATTCAAAACGGATACACTAAAATAATCCAGCCTTTGCTCGCAGCCACTACAGTCAGCAAAGGTTATTAAGGCCAATCGCCAACCAAGCACAGGCTGCTACTGTAGCACTGGAACTGCTGGGACAGGGAATGGTCAAAAGCACGGAGGATAAGCAGGAGCCACTCTCTCCCTCCAAAGGGAAAGCAACAGCAATAAAGCGCATGAAAAACTCCCCCGCAGTACAGGAGGCACCAGCTCTTCTCAGGGCGCCTCCTCGGAAGCTCCTCCGGAATAATTCCTCTGGATTGTACAAAATAGAGGTTTTTAAGGTCAAAAGGAAATGAGTAAATGTCATCAATTTAGAGGATTTCAGCCCCGGCATTCTTCTCAGTCTCGCCGTGAATTTGATAGTGTTAAAACATTTTTATAGGTAAAATAAATGTCAGTTTTGCAAAGAGCGATATCAACCCCTGGGAGACAAATGGCCTATCCACTGAATCTCAGGCTACGGCGAGACGGCGCTGCCTCACAGGAGACTTGAGCTTTTCATACTCCTCTTTAGCTGGCAAGAAAAGCTTGTACGGTTTCTTTCAAATGCTAACTCTCCTGTCCTGAAGTGTCTCCTCATAATATGATAATCTTGGATGAGAGGTAGTGGGTTGGCTGAAAAAACATAATAAGACACAAATATGTGACTAGTGTTCAACTGTTAGGATGCTTCTTGAGTGGAGAGCAAAGAAGGCAAGAAAGGTGTGACTGTAGTACCAAGGGTCAGGAAGCTCTCGGCTCAACGCTCCATAAATTCGCCAAGTAATATTCAGAGGAGAGATGATGTTTTATCAGAATGTCATTCAAATATAAGGTTTAACATTTACATCACAAGAGCAAGCACACAAACTGTCCTCCCTCCGGGAGAGAAGCGGTAAGAATAAGCAGTGAGCCAGGGCATGCTTGCTGGGACAGGGCGTAGGGAGCAGAGGCCAGGGGAGTCTACATATAGCTGACTAAACTTTCTGAAATATGTGGCTGGTTATGACATGTGCAGCAATTACCACTAATGGGGGAACAGGTATTTCAAAATTCATTTTCCATTCTCCCATAGGCTTCTGGAGACAACCCCTCCCAAGCACATGAGAAAAAGGACAGAAAGACAGACAGAAATTATAGCACACACCTCTTCCCTGGTACAAGGGCCATCAAAGGGCGCTTTACTCATAAGCAAAAGGGAGAAACCAATTCGTGCACTGCCCAAGGTGGCAGGAGGTTTTCTTTTCCTCACTCAAAAGGATGGACGTGTGCTACAGAACAGACAAAGATGCACTGATCAAAGACACCTATTCCCAACATCCACTCCATTACTCAATAATGTGAGAAGATAACAAGGAATCACTTGTCTAAAATCATAATTTGGAGTAATATATTTCATGGAAGAAAAGTTTGAACAATCAAGAAATGTCCTTTCGATTAGCTTAATTCCACAGAACCTAAATGTGCACCAAACACTGCATTTTTGAAGTGAAATTGCTGTTGCATCTGTGAACCCACAACTGATTTCCTGTGTTATGGAATCTTGAAGATTACAGCTAACTTGAAGCAACAGGGGTAATTCTTGGCAGTTAATGGGACATTTATATGCATTTTCCTGAAAGGCAGCATCTTGGGACCTCCAACTGGCAGCTCAACATTGCCCCCTACTGCTTACAAGTTAAACCAAAGAGCCGGAGCCAGGCTGACAGAGCCAGGCTGACAGAGCCAGGCTCACCAGCCAATGCCTATCTAGCCCCAGTACCCAAATACCACATGGCATCGCACTAAGAGCCACAGAGCCAGGGACTTTTCCAAAGATTATTCTCTGCTGTCTCTTTCAATAGCAAAAATAATTTATCATGAATTTATTAGAAATCTTTTTTTTTAAAGGCCTAAAGCAATGCTTCAACTTAATTTAGAAGAAACATCCCTTTTATCTTGGCCCCATCCTTCACTCTGCTGATAATGATCCAACTGTGGCATGCAGGGAAGACACTGAAACATTGATTTTCTTTTTCTTTTTTTTTTTTCTTCAGTAAAGAACAGAGCCCTGGAAAGTTCTCCAGATTGCTACTCCTTTAGAGTTTTGTTTTGTTTTGGATTTCTTTCTCTCTCTTTTCTTTATTTTTTTTTCCAGTATAAAATATAATAAAAAGATTCTTCCTTTAACTGATTACCACTCCTACCAAATGTGTGTGCTCGTATATTGAGACTGACACACATCTACAGTCATCTGTCCTCAGTGAATTAATAATGACCATCGCTGTGTGATCAAAAGACTAAACATTTCACTTGGGGGCGGGGTGGAATACTTCTAAAATAGAAACTTTTTAAAACTTTTTTTTTAATTGCTGGAGAGAGAGCTTAGTAGTTAGAAAGCACTGGCTGCTCTTCCAGAGGACCCAGGTTCAATTCCCAGCACCCACATGGCAGATCACAACTGTCTGTTAAGTCCAGTTCTAGGAGATCAGACACTCTCACACAAATACATGCAGGCAAAGTACCAATGTACATAAAATGAAAAATAAATGAATAAAAAATTTATTTCACAAAATTACTGAGTTCTTTTCTTACCTATTTCTAAGTCTTAATTTACAACTTGATAAGATTATACTTTCAACATTAGGTTGACATCTAACAATTTGGCCTCAGCACACAGAATCCTAAGTGCCTATGTAAAATGAACAAAAACCAAAAGTTCACACAAGTGAAGTTGCACACATCCTATAAAAACAGCATTTCGTCCCCAGGCTTGGCTCAGGAACAGAGCTAGCCAGGCAGAGAGGGGATCTTCATCATCTCCAAGCTGGCTACACAGTGCTCTGTACTAACCCAGGGCTCGGGGAAACTGCCTTTGGGATTATTAACACACTAGGAGAGCAATGGTGCCTCTTTCCCAGAGGCTAATCCTTGCAAAGGGAAGTCTGAATGATCTCAGAGATGTGCATTCTGATGCACACTCTTCAGCTGAGGCCTTCATACTTAGAACTTGATATTTTCATAAGACAGGGATTACTGAAGATATAATGTTATCAAATGATATCAAAGATATAATCTTTATCAAAACAATAACACTAAGTTGGCTGGCTAAGTGGACACTTTTGGAGGTGACAGACAGATCTCAGTGTGGGCTAGGACTGTACTCCACAGGTATATATTTACTTCTCAGCACATCAAACTGTGTGCTTGATGCTTGTTTAGCTTCCTGGATGTCAACTCTAGGTCCATGAAACAATATGGGTGGGGACTGGCGACCGCTGTGCACCCTGCAGACGAGTCACTGCTCTCCGAACCCTTCAAACGCTCTGAAGTGTCACTCTCCAGAGGTCGGCAGGCTTTTATCGCCTTTCCTCTACATTCCAAGCCAAGCCTTTGGAGGCAGATCAGTGAGCCGACAAAGGGCAAGAAGCCTAGAGCAGGCCTTCTAGAGTTCAAATCCCAGCTCTCCCACCTATTAGCTGGTGACCTTGGGAAAGTTACATAAAGTTTTGGGCTCCTGTCTCCTGATAGTAAAAGTGAGACAAAAGTCATGCCTATCACATGGGGTCACCAGGACATTACGTGAGTTCTCAGTACTCATAGAATCTTTAGTAGTCATGAAAACACCATGCAAGCATTTGCTGTTGCTATTGTTATCCAAGCCGAGGCTCCTCAAGTGGCTTCTACCTGCCACCTAGCTGGCATGTCCATAAGTGTTCTGACTTCTGATCTTGTTTCCATAGTTCCTAGACCTATGGTTTCTCCCCAGATAGCCCAGCCCATCCTCTCCTCTCCTCATGGCCCTCCATCGAGACCAGCACCTTCCTAGCATCAGTGGTAATGACCTGAACCTGACACGGCTCTGAACCGTGTGCACGCATGTAGAGGTGTGGAGACCCTGAGAGTACATTTTCTCCTTCCATGGTGTCCTTGCTCATCCATCACAACCCTCGTTATACCTTGTTGGTCCCAAGGCATAAAACCCAGGTTGTCAGGTTTGGTGACAACATTCTTTACAACTCTGACCCATCTTTCCAGACCGTGACTTTTTATTGTTTTTAGGCCCCCACCATGGTTTTATTTTAGCTATAGTAGTACATGGTGACATCCACTTCTCTCTTTGCTAAACCGCTCAGCTACGGTGAGTAAAAGCATGTGCACTCTACAGCTTGGCAGCCCGGGCTTTCATCTGAGCCATCTACTTAGTAGCTCTGGACAAGCATCTAACTTCTCTCTACCTGAGCTCTCAATCTGTACGTTAGGGCTCACAGTGCTCTCCACGTCAATTGATGTAAGGATGAAACCACAAACGAATGCGAGGTGCTCTTGGTACCCGGTTCTCATGCTGTGTCCCAGCTCATGTCTAGGGGAGTGCCTTCTGTGAAGAACATCAGAAATGTTTCCTGAAACGGACTGAGGCATTACTGACAGAATTGCAGGCTGCTCCCATTACAGGAGATAGCCTAGCACAGCCGTTTAGACTGACAACCTACGTGGAAATTAGACGGCTGGAGGTGTGCACAGCGCAGTGCCCCAGAGACCGCGCTCAGACCTCATACACTTACCACAGTCTCCATCTTCTTCCACAGCCCCTCCAGCTGGGCCATGGGCTCACACCACCAATCAGTGCAGAGTTTGTATCGATTTCCTTGAAACCAGAACTGCCGCAGCCACTCAAACTCGACCTGTGGACCAGAACAAGAAGGTGGTGGTTATAATGTCCTTGAGATAGACCAACAAGGACAAGGGCTTCCCTGCTCAAAGTCTCCTTTAGCAACTTAATAGACAGAGGGTGAGAGAGGTGAGAAAAGCTTGACCTAAGTAGCTCCCGACACATCCTGGGATCTCCAGAGCATTCTGAAAGCCAGGAAAATGGAGCTTGCAGAGTTGAGGGCCTGCTAGGATGGCAGCTCAGGTCAGGCTACATGTTTTAAGCATAGGGAATAAATATTCAGATCCGCCGGATAAGCAGCATCCACTGTGTGCAATGGAAAATCATAACAGAGTAGTTAAACATCCTTAGTAAAAGCTAAGAAGGCCATGACATAGACAGATACTGAAAGTATCATGTGCCGATTTCTTAGACTGAAAATGAAGAACTTACCCAAGGGCCAGGAGAAGCTGGTGACCTTAGTCGCATAAGCAAACAATATATAATTAGTTATAGAGGCAGTCAACATCCTATGCAGCCATTAAGGTTCTCACTTGGTGACTCAGTAAAGGCCAATTACAATAGGCAGGCAGCAGCAAAGGCTGAAGGCACTCTTCAAGGTTCTTTTCTGTGATGCTACTAAGCTGTTTGCGTTGACCTCCTCCTCCTACCCACAGGATGTATATAATCACACCTTTTCCAGGCTCAGTCCTGCCCTACAGGCACAGCTACAGCTACAATATTAGTAGGAGTAGGAACCCAGGGTGAAGCCAAACATCCCTTCCCATTTCTGGGTTTCAGAAGAATAGAGGCTCCGAGACTAGAAAAACACAAGAAGGAGCCTGAAGACATTTTGCTGTCAAACTGGAGCCAAAATGCAGGACAGGAGATGAGGAGATAAAGCCAGGACCCAAGGGGATAGGGGAGAGCAGCTCACCTCTCAGAGGCCAAGGGGGGGCTAGGGGCAGCATTTGGGATGGAAATAAATAATTTTTTAAAACTGCATTTAGATTAAGTACAGAGATCGATGAGCTTATAAATGGACAGATATATGTAAAACTTACATAGTCACAACTGCCACAATCAACATGACATAGCCATAGCCATGAAAATATATCATGAACTCCTATTTTCTCGGGCCACTTCCAACACCCAGCCCTGGTCTGAGCAGCTCTGTCTATATGTTAATTTCCTGGAATGTCAAATGAACAATATTTGTGAATTAAAAAAAAAAAGTCAGGCCCAGGATATAGTTTCTGACTGGATGATCTATCTCAAAGTCCCTTTCTGCTCAAGCAAGTTCAGGCTTCGGTGTCTGATCCTTGCAATGGCAACAATCTCAATGCATACAGATCAGAGTCTGACCAACACTTTACACATGAGTCTTCTATGGCTTGTCTTCCACTTGAACATCAAACTACAGCATCAAAGCATACCTCCATTCCACCCCAAACTCCTTTTGACTTTTGCCGTCCAAAAAAGGGTCCAGCCACCCCAGGTGCATACTATGACGTCTGCTTTGCAGAGTGATCACGTTCCACTCAGAGCTGAGCTACTGTCATCATGTTCTGTGAGCACAGAAGACTTCCATTTGTCTCTCCACAATGGACTTCCATGAGGCAAACAAAAAGCAACTTGTGAAGATTAGCAACGGTGAAAACGGCTCAAGAAAGAAACTGGAGAAGACCTAGTTTAATGGAAAGGTTTCGGTTTACGCTAAATAAATGTTTGTTTGATGTGTAGAACTGATTTCAGCTAAAGCTGTTTAAACAAAACAAAACAGGAATGTGGGCAACATTAAGACAGTTGCTAAACCTTTCTCTGTGGCATTAAAAGGCAGTGGTTAACAGAAGGTAAATCTTTGTACTTTGAAAGGAGGATGAATACGGCCACAGTTCAACTTTAGTGAAGATCCAGGTTTAGCAGCACATCTACTGCAAGAGAAATGAGAGAGCCTTTTAAAGGGCTGCACATGAAGATGCTCACACTGTCAGACAGCCTGTTGGCAGAGCCTCAAGCCTGACTGTGGGGAGAGGTAAGATGCTCTCCAACACCTCCCCTACCCTCATGCTGCTTATTACTATAGAGGAGCACAAAACTTGGAAGCCTCAATCACCCTGAAATAGAGGGAATAAAAAGACTACTGTGTGCAGTAAGTCCGTCAACCTATTAAGGCACCAGACTGTACTTCCGTGGAGAACTTGGAAGCAGGAAGATGGCCATGGAGGACTTGGCCATAGCACAAGGAAGCAAAGGCAGGGCCTGGCCACGCTGACAAATACAACCTTCTCTTCATCCTCAGACATCTCACTTTTTGTTCAGCCTTTCAAGCTGCGTGTGAGCCCCGGAACCCACACAGTGGAAGGAGACAACTGATCCCTCTGACCTCCACACACATGCCATGGCCTGAGTGCTTCCAACCTCCAATAAAAAAAAAATAAGTGTAGCAACTTCTTTCTCCTCCTCTTCCTCCTCCTCCTCCTCTTCCTCCTCTTTCTCCTCTTCCTCCTCATCCTCCTCCTCTTCCTCCTCCTCCTCCTTTTATTTTCCTTCTTCTTCAGAATCGGGATTCTGGATATTCAGGAAAGATAGACAACTAGGAACCATTTCCTTATAATGGATAAATTCCCAGCATATATGAGCTACCAAAATTAAATCAAGAAGATATAAAACAAGTTAAATCCATAAAAAGCAATGAAATTGATGAAGTAACAACAACAACAACCTCTAAACAAAGAAAAGCCTAGAACCAGATAAATTCATTGCCAAATTCTACTAAACTCTTAAAAAGAGCTAACACCAATGCCCCACAAACTGAGTCATAAAACAGAAAGGGATGGGAGGCTACCAAACACAGTGAATACAACAATCCCCAAACCAGAGAACAGCAACGAGAGGCTGTGGACTAACCTTGCTGGTGAACACAGACACAAGATTTCTTACCAAATCCTTACAGTCTAACAAAACCCACAACAAAACTGGTTCCATTCCAGGTATGCAAAAATGGTTCAGCATCAAATACGGATGCAATAAAGCACATACATTATGTAGGGCAGAAATCACAGGGTCACCAGTAGATGCAGAAGAGGCATTTAACAAAACCCTGTCTCTTCATTATGGAATTCCTGAACAAACTACAAACAGAAGAAATCTATCTTTGATAAGAGCTACATATGACAAACCTATAGCGAATATTCCACTAAATCCTCTAAAATCAGGAATGATACAAAGCTTTCCACACTTACACTGTTATTCAGTATAGTGCTCCAAATATTGACTAGAGGAGTATGGCAAGAGAAAGAAAGAAAAGAAATGTAAATAGGAAAAAGAAAGTTAAACGATCTCTATGTACAGATAACATGACCATAAACATGAGAGGCCATAAAGAGACCTTAGAAAAGTCTTCCATCTGATAGCTGCTTTCTGCCTTGTGGAAAGACATAAAACCAACACACAGAGAGAGCAGCAGTCCTTCTATACACCTCTAAGTTGCCAGAAAAGAAAGACGGGGGAAAGCCCCACTCATGATAACTTAGCCTCCTTTCTCATCAGAGGAGTAAGACACTATGATGAAGTAAGGACTACTGAAAGAACGGAAAGCCAGATGATGGACAGCTCCCCATCAATGCTCAGGAACTAACAGGGTATTGTGAAAACAGGTATATTACAAAAGGTAATCTATGAATTCAATACAATTTCCACCAAAAGTCAAGTGATACTGTCCACAGAACTAGAAAAAAAAACTTCTAAAATTCATATAGAAGCATAAAATACTCCAAATAGCCAGAGCAATGCTGAAGAGACTAAGCAATGCTAAGGTATCACACATATACTCTCAGAGCATACTATAAAGCCACAGTTACAAAAACAGACAGTGACACAAAACCAGACCCACTGACAGGGGAAGTTAATAGAGCACCCGGAAATGAACCCACACAACTGGGGCCATCCAATGTCTTACAAAGATGTCAGAAGACAGTAGGAAAATGACATCCTCTTCAACAATGGTGGTGGGAAAACTGAGTACACACATGGGCAAGAATGAAACAAGATTTAGATTTTTTACCATAAATAAAAATCAATTCAAAGTGGACCAAAGATCTAAATAGAAGACTTGAAATACCAAGAAAGGCAAAACACTTCAGAATATAGACATAGGGAAGGACTTTCTGGAAAAGATCTGAAAAGCACAGAAAATAGCCCCCAAGGATTATCAATGAAATTAAAAAGCTTTTGCACAGAGACAAAAACAACCATCAAATTAAAGAGTCAACTCACAGAACAGGAAAACAATATTTGCCAAATATACATCCAACAGGGGGTTACTACCTAGATTACAAACGAGCTCCAAAACTAAATACCAGAAAAGTCAAATCATCCCGTCGATAAATGGAATGGACTGCACAGACAATTCTCAAAGGAAGAAATACAAGTGGCCAATAAATACTTGAAAAAGTATTCAACATCCTTAGCCATTAGCAAAATGTAAATGAAAGCCACCTGGAAATTCCACTGCAGCCCAGTTATCAAGAAGATAAATGACAACACATGGCAGTGAGGATTCGGGACAACCAGGACCCTTTTGTGGGGGGACATAAATGGGTACAGTCATCATAGAATCAATATGGAAGCTGGTCAAAGAAACAAACCAGAATACTATAGGATGCAGATATACCACTCCTGTACCACTCCTATATCCATGCATACCTGAAGGACTCTAAGTCACCACACTCTAGAGATACCTGCACATCTATGTTTAGCCACACTATTCACAGCAGTAAATATCTGGAACCAGTCTCGATGGCTATCAACGGATGAATGTGTTGGGTTTCGGATCCTGGACAGGAAGCTCAGGTTCTTCTTTAACGTATCAAAGTGGATCTGGCCTACAGATTCTCCCAGCATCTGTCAGTCTCTACCCATTACAAGGCATAGCTGCTATACCCTGCCTTGCTATACCCCACCCTGGGGCTGGGCTTCACCTCCCCCAAGAGGCTATTCCCTATATAATCTAGACACTGTGCTCTCTCCTTC